CAAAATGAATCGTTGGTCCCGATAGAGATGGCGCTACTGTCACGAAGACAGATTAAATTTGAAATGTGGAAGTTGCTAAATTCAAATTTAATAATTGTATTCAAATTTCATGGCGAGAGTTTTCGGAATCACACTAATATTACTTATAAAGGCGAAAGTTTGTGAGTGTGTATGCTTATTACTTCTTCACGTCTAAACCGCTGGAGCGATTTTAATAAAATTTGGCATGGAGTTAGCTGACACCCTGGATTAACACATGGGCTACGTTTTACTGCTATTTTTAATATCCCTAATAAACCGCGGGTAACACCGCGGGGCACAGCTAGTATTACTATATATGCCTTGGTTGTTGACTTCAACGACAAAAGAAGTGAGATCTAAATAGGTGCCAAGTTCAAATGTCAGTCCTGAAATTTATTTAACACAATATGAAATATTTAATGGCTTTAGTCACTATCCAAATTTCATCATTCTAAGTTCAGCCGCTTCGGCTGTGCTTTGATGAGTCAGTCAGTCAGTCTGTCAGTGTATCCTTTTCCCTCTTTATATAATAGTATAGATAATTATAAAATCAACATTAACGCGAGCTTATTAAAGGCAGGGAGTCCATTAAATATGTACCTAGTAGCGAATAATAGGTTATTTCTCATTATGTTAATCAACGCTTTAGTAACATAAAGTAACAACGTTAAAATAAACTTTAAAAGCAGTAACATTCAAATTTTTTTTATAGAATTTTAATACTTAACTATAATTCTGATAATTATTTTTTGTTATTTAATACCTAAGAAGGAAAGTTATCATAGTTTTGTTATAAAAGCAATAGCTTTCTATCCACAACTTCGTATAGGATTAGGTACTTCCAGTAGCCTATTTTCCTTTCCTAGGTCTCCTACATTTTCATAAATACCAAAATTCATCAAACTTCTTCTCCAAACATTCCCGCAGTCTACTCCTGCATAGTACACCGCGCTATCACTTTGTTACTGTCGTAACTATTTAAATATTAGTCCAAATAACATAGTCTAAAAGGCAAAGTTTATCTTCTTGAAATATTGATAACGATCAAAATATTTGTTTCGATAAAAAATACTTTTTTAATACAAAATGTGCATTTTGGAAATGTATATCAAATTTTATTATATGTTCGATTTACTATTTAAGATAAAACGGTTTACATATAGAAGATAGATATATGCTATCGCAGACTTTTCTGAAGAAATATTTATTTAAAAGAAACATTTCCACTGTACCTTACATTCATGCAGCGCAGGCCAAAATGGCTCGCATGTGAGAGATTTCTTTAGTCTTACGTGATACTTATTATTTTATTTTATAATGTACAATATTATTATTATGTATATAATTCTAAAGTTTCATTTAAATCCATTTAGTAGATTTTGCGTGATAGAGTAACAAAGACTCTTACAAACGTAAGTTTAAGATTAACTGCGCAAGTTGTTCATAAACAACTTTAAAGCGTTGTAGATCCTAAACAGTTATAAAAAAATGAAAAATTATGTAAGAAACCTAAACATGATTTTCAATTGTCCCCATATTAAATTGCGATTACTATCATGTCTTTAGTAGCACTTCCACTATTAAGACGAATCGATTGATATATGAATCATCAAAATCGCTCCACGCGTTTGGTCTCTAGTGTCCCACAAAGGAACATACATACATATGTATATGGACTGTTAAACACATAACCCTGTCCGCGCGTTGCGTTTCGCGCTGCTTACGTGCGCCCGCCGTAGGGTAGAAAATAAATTTTGGATGTTGTTTTACCAAATTATGTGTGTGTAATGAATATAAATAATTGCTAAAACTAATCCCAAAGATATTTTTATGGACGCTCAAAAATATGATCACCTGAGAATGACTGACATGTATTCTATCCGTTATCCTAATATCTCATAGTGCGGACTTTGAGGTCAGGCGAATTGGTGTGAGTGTGGGAAATATATATTTACGATTTGGCGGGGCACTGCCATGCCCCCAGATAAAAGATAAAGGCAAAGTCTTACTACATAGATAAACGATAACCATAAATTTATGGACAAAGTCTGTTGGTATTTTTTTCATTATTCATTTGCCGAGTTTCATACGCCTATTATACTGCATACTTACATATCTTTAAAAAAAACCGGCCAAGTTCGTGTAATGCCACGCGCACTGTAGGGTTCCGTAGTTGCCTGTGTTTACCACAATATATTTAAGCAGGAGTCTTTATTTTCTATATTGGAAATTAGAAAAAACAATTAATATAAACCTATGTTTCTCTATTAAAATATCTAAATCAAAGTCAAACTGCGTCTCCAAACTCAAAATCAATTCGATTTTTTTTGTTTCCTCCCAGGTGCGGGAGCAGGTGGGAAATCCTCATGGATACCCTACAGCCGACTGCAAGGTTATATCAGACCCTTACTGACTAAAAGCTACATCTGAAGCGATTATCCCCTGAGAAGGGGATGATGCGGTATAACCGCCGACCTTTTCATGTAACGTTAGCGCGACTCAGAAGCCGTTGCCGCTGGTACTCGCGGTAGCGTTATGGAACTAATAATACACTCCCGGACTCTTGAATCGAGGCACCTTACAGTCCCGGGCCTAAAAGGCAAAACTGAGCTAGAGGTAGTGACGGGACCACGACTGCCGCCCCTAGATGGCAATAGATACATTCGCCAATGTTTAGAGAACCACGTGATGCCATATGCTGGATTTATTGGCCAAGATTTCGTTTTAATGCATGATAATGCAAGGGCCCATACTGCGGGAATCGTCAGGGAGTACTTAAATGACATTGGTATCACAGTTATGAGATAGCCAGCGTGAAGTCCTGATATGAATCCTATAAAGCATCTATGGGATGAGCTGAAGAGGCGTGTTCGAGCTCATCATCCTGCCCCGCAAACCATGCAGGAGCTCAAAAATGTAATTTTGGAAGAATGGGAGGACATTCCTCAACATGTCATAACGACATTGATTAATTCTATGCCAAACCGTATGAGAGCTGTCATAAATGCACTGGGAAGCAATACAAGTTACTAAATAAACATTTCTTTTCATGTAAAACATGTCTTTATTTAAAAATCGATTAGATTTTTTTCCATAAAAAAAAGCAAATATGGACTTGTTTCAACGTTACTCGACTTTTTTAATAAACTGTAGTTCAAATTTAAAACAGTGGCACTCTAAATGAATGATGAGTATACCAGCTCCAAAACTGCATCAAAACATTTTCTTTCTAGATACATCTTTTATAAGTTACAGTACTCCAAACCAAAAAAATCAAGGTGACTCGATTTAGGTGTCCGGGAGTGTATTTTATTGTGGTTTTTAAACAGTTTTTTCTTAGATTTTGTTGCAATGCAAGGTGTTACGCTTCAATAACTTCATCTATGCCACTATTAATGTTTTCTTCTAAGGAATTTTCAATAGGTAAGTTTTTTTTTTTTACCAAAGTTGAACGACTATTACTCTTAAAGTAACAAATCTATCTTAACCGTTAAAGTTTTCTTCAAAAGTTCATGAAAAGCAGTATTATAATAAAATTTTCCAGGTTTTTCAAGCCAATAGTTTAGCTTTTAAAGGGGCGGGGTGACGCCCTACTCGAACAAAAATTAGCACTTTAAAGTTCAATATTCCGCAAACGGATCTAAATTAAAAAGTAGTCTTAGGAACCCCCAAGTAATTTTAAAAAACTTATTCAACGATACACCACACGATGGGGTAGATGATGAAAAATATCGTCCCTAGGTTATATGTAGGGGAGCTACCCTAAAAATATATTGTTCAGAATTTTATTCTACCATTTTGTCGGTGTGATCGATATACATATCTCCACAGAATTACAACTCTATAGTGCTAATGGTCTCCAAGCAAAATCGGGAACGGACAGACGGAGATGACGAAACTATAAGGGTTCCTTGTCAGGACTACGAAACCCTAAAAACACTTGATGGTGTATTGAAAGACTTGTTAATTACGATTGCATTTGAAGTTTCGTATTATTATATTATAAAGATGATACGGATGCAGATTTCCTGAGTACTATTTAAGAATCCGTATTGAACGATAACATTCGTTTAGAGCTTTACAAATATTCATAAGCAATTATGTTCAGACGTTCATACTACAAATCTGTCGAGGAACCGAAATAATAAAGAACATAATAATATACCTAACACTGTCTAGTTGCATACTATAAACACGTTAATTTATTCATTTTTAATAATTGGTAGTCAAATACAACCACGATAGCGAAAACGGTTTAATTACTTGCAGTAATTAAATTGTACTTATAATTGTGTATACTTATAGTCATAAGCGTTATATTTAAACTGTATGAAATCCAACCTTTTGACCTTAGAAAATCGTAGGTTTAATGTCAGAAAATTAAGTTAAAAGAAATGTAAATACTGTAGTATCAGTTTTATTTGTAGTTGCAAAATCAGAAAAAAACATTATAAGTTAAGGGATCAAAATATTCATGTCTTACATAGAACATGAATAAACAAAATTAAAGCTTTACTCAGCTTAATTAACAAAGTAATTTCAAAATATTTAGTAGTTAGCAACTTAGCAGCGTGGATTAAAAAAATAAATGAAACGCCTTTGATAGTCTCGCCCAAAACAAATGTACATTTGATAATACAATTATGTATGTGATCTAAAATTTAGTACTAAAGTAAGTGTGTTTTAAGTACATGAAACATTATTTACATGAAGGATAATTTTCTAATTTTACAGTCTTTTATGATTATAGAACCTATAATTCAGAGACTTCAGACAAAATAGGGTAAAGTGTAAAGTTGAAAATATGTATAGATACCAAATGCAAAGCTTAATTTACAATAATTATAAATAGTAGGTAAATTATTGTAAGTCGTAATTAATCTTGAAGATTGGAGTTTTAACGCGTTTTATGCATCACTGAACCGCATACGAGCATATATAATGCTAGTAGTATTGAATAATTGCTTATTTTGCCCACGATGAGGTGTTTCAAGTGGTCAGTATTCCTGTACTGGTTTCTGGTTTATGGGACGAAATTTTCCGAGGAATATGATTACTACAATGTGACGATCGACAGAGCACCTCGTCAGCTGAGAGAGTTTAAAAATGAACATCCAGTAAGTAGATGAATACATAAAAAACAACAGTTTCTAGCACTATTTCATATTTTTTTGTTAATAAACTTATATAGGGATTCGTTGTTGATGAAATACAGACAGCGGTCGTCGTAATCAGAGCATAAAATTTAGAACGGTATAATACTACACAGGATTCCGACTATTCTCTGTTCCATACTTTTAATTAAATGTGTGGATTATTTCTTATATTTCACCTTAAAATATACCTTTTTGGTATAAATAATTGCACTATTTAATTATTTTCAGAAACCAATTGGAGTCATAACTACAGAAGCTGGTTCACCAGTTGATCTACGGGATACTATCATAATTAATAAGGATATATTCAACAGCGAATTCTTTGCAGACACCTTAACACATTTCGATGGTGAGCCGATACCTGAACGAGTTGTTCAAGGTCATGGCTATGGTGCATATGGCTATTTTGAAGTCACCCATGATGTCTCAAAATATACAAGTGCTGATGTATTTAATGGAATTGGGAAAAAGACACCTTTGGTTGCACGATTTTCAACAGCCAGGCAAAGTATTAATGGAAATGAACTTGTCAGAGAACATAAGGCGCTGTCTTTAAAAATTTATACTAAAGAGGGTAACTTAGACATATTGACCATAAATATTCCTGCTTATGACTACAGGGATCCTCTTGATTTTCCAAACTTCATCCGAGCCCAGAAAAAACACCCAAAAACAAAAATCCGTGATTTGAATATGGAATGGGACTTTACTACGTTAAGACCATCTCGCTTTCATGCAATGATGTGGCGGATGTCTGATTATGGTCTTCCGCTTGGCTTTAGAAGAATGGACCTCTTCCCGATTCATGCGTATGAAATAAACAACAAACATGGCGATAGATATATTGTGAAATTCAATTTCCGGACAGAATTGGGATTGGCAAATCTTACAACATCTCAAGCTATGGCGATCTCGAGCCAGGAACCAAATTACTTTTCACGAGATTTATACAATGCAATAATGAACAAGAATTATCCATCTTGGAAACTAGAAATGGATGTCATGACATTGGATGATATAAAAAAACTTGATTACAATCCATTCGATGTTACTAGGCTATGGAAGGCAGGTACATATAAAACCGTGACTATTGGGAGACTAGTGATGAATGAGATACCAGATAATCATTTCAGATCTATCGAAATGGGTGCATTCAATCCAGCAAATTTAGTACCTGGTATACCCGGACCCGCTGATACTGTATTTAAAGGCCGAAGGCTTGCTTACCGAGATGCACATAATAACCGTTTGGGCAGGAATCATAACAGAATTGAAGTGAATTTGCCAAAAGGTCGTGTTTTGACGTACACGCGTGACAGTAAACCTCCTGTTAGAGATAATATGAGAGATGCTCCAAGTTTCTTTCCGAATTCCTTCAATGGACCGGTCCCTTACGTTGATCCTAGCCGTCCTAGTCAAAAGTTAATGGTTTATGATAACAATATTGCTGATTTTGAGCCTGCCTGGTACTTTTACAACTACATATTGAAAGAAGAAGGAGAGAAGCAAAGATTGGCTGAAAACATGGCTTACACTCTTCTAGATGTAGATGAAGAAGTTAGAGAGAGAGGCCTAACAATGATAAGTTGGATAGATCTAGATTTAGCAAAGAGGATCAGGGAGAGATTTGCAATGATAAGAGCAGCTGCAGACGAAGCAAGTCACGTAGATGTTAAAACGAGATTTGACCCTCTAGCAAGATGTATTGATTCCTTTATAGAGGGTCATTTGACCAGCCATCGTTATCATTAGTCATTTAATGATAATTTATCCATATATCTAAGTAAACAGTATGATTTCATAACACTGAATAATCCAAATCAAAGTAAAGGGTATTAATTTTTTCCATTTATAATGCAAACTTATTTTCAGTCATCTTCCTATAGAAACTTCTAACTTATAATTAAATATCTATCTTAGTATATAAAGACTTATAAAATTCAAACCATAAGATCCTACCTATATTATCTTTGGGTGATTTAATTGGAAGACAAAAACTTTTCAGTGTAATCAATCACATCATGAACAACCCATAATGTTCCCACTGTTGGGGTACAGGTTTCCTTATGGATAGAATAGGGAGATTTGGCCCTGATCCATCACACAGGCCGAATCTAGATTAGCAGCCGAAACCAATGTCTATCAGTATTGTGCGCTTCGAAGCAAATAGGAGCTCGAGATAATAAATCTTTGGTCACCCATCCGATCCCCGACTATTGAGAAAATTTGTTTAACTTCCACGATTACAGAACAAACGCAATTCACTCACGCCATCGAGTTCCTCGCATCAATCACTTGTTTTTTTATTTACTGTGTTTTCAGAAGGTTATATGGAAAAGTAGCTATAATCGATCAGTTTGGCCTTGTGTTGTTACGGTATTAAGCTATTAAGGTATATTACACTCAATTTAAATATACCTAATGTTTTGTGTAAAAATGAAGTTTGAATACATCCAGAGAAACTAGTTGTTATTACCAATAGTGAAGAGCACTAATCTCGAATATCTAGGATTCTTTAAACTATTATTGGTACTCTATATCCGCTTATTGTCACATGTGAATGTAATTATATATAAACAGAACCTATTAGCAGAAAATATAGCACAGCAATAACAATCATTCATCGTGATGAATACAAAATGTTTATCTATTACTGCACTGCCCGTGCAGTGATAGTACTTTATGGCAAGTAGGTGGACCAACGATCTGACCCACTAGGTGGACCAACGATCTGTTTATATCGCAATTCTCCAGGCGACTTCAAAATCCCGACATTGTCAAATTTAAAATGTCTCGATCTGGCAACCTTAAGTAAGCGTGGTATCGCTGAATGATGATGACGATGACTGTGATAGTAGGGTCTTGGGCCCGGGAGAGGATGCAACACAGCATCAACGCAATAGGATAGTCGATCAATTGGACATGACGCGCGGCGATCCCGAGACCCGTAATCATGTTCATTCAGTGCGGGGTAGATCGGGGAGTTGTTTTACCTGGTAGGTATGGGAGATAAAGCACGGCCGATTATCCACCATGGACCTCAGTAGTAGCACCTGGTGGTTAGCCGACTGGCGTGTTGACCAGAGAAGCCCAGGATCGTACTGGAGGGCGCAGAGTTGGTCGCTGAGCGGGCGCAGTAGCGTGGGGGTAGTCACAGTGGTCACACGAGTGAATGCTTCCTGCGGCTGCGGATGGTCAGTGATCTTCAAGCTCTTCGTATCAGAGCAGCTTACTGCTTTCTACCAGTCGAATGCAACATGTCGGATCATGTGTCTACGGGTGCATGATGTGGAATGCACATTTCTTCTCCCCGTAATCGAAAAAAAATGGGTGTGTGTACTTATGTAGGCGCGTGAGAAGTTATCCTTCTTTGGCATCGTTTAAAATTAGTTTTTAATTGCATGCAAATAATTAATTACAATAAATTAATAAAAAGTCTGGAAAAGGACACAGTCAATAAAGTTCAGTTTTAATTTGAAAAAATAAATAAATAATCAAATATTCAATTAAAATCGCTACTGAATATAATTTATTAGAACATATGTGATTTGCACTTGTATGAAACTCAAACACGTATTCCGAATATACAAACTAGAAACATATGGATAAATATTATAAATATGAATACCTATAACTGTTACTTTATTACAAAAAAAAATAAAGATGTGGTTTTTGGTTCTACTACACCAATGGTCAAGAGATGGCGCTGTAGTCTCCTGAATCGCGCTTTGGTTCCGTTGTTCCAGATTAATAAATACTTTTGATATTATAAATATGAATACCTATAATTGTTACTTTTTACAAAAAATAAAGATGTGGTTTTTGGTTCTACTACACCAATGGTCAAGAGATGGCGCTGTAGTCTCCTGAATCGCGCTTTGGTTCCGTTGTTCCAGATTAATAAATACTTTTGATAGGCCTTCACAATGCAGTCGTTAGCACCCACTAAATAGAGATTCTATTTCTATTTTGTTGGTTAATTTTCTTAATGTGCGGTAAACACAAAAGTAACAGCATGAAGTTGGTCGCTTTAGCGACCAACTTCGTTTCCAACTTCTTCTTCTTCACCAACTTCGAATTTTTGTGTTACAGTGATGCGCGCGCATCTTTAAATTTCACTCTCATCATTTTTTCATAACGCGCCTAAAGAAGTATAACTTCAAAAAATTGTCTTGTGTACTCCTATGTAGTTGGTCGTCTGGTGCACTATGTATCTAATACAATATTCCAATAAATATATTGGTGAAGTCCCTTAAGGTCTAATTTATGTCGATTAAATATTATTTTTTTAGCTAAATCACAATCAGATCAAAAGAAAGAACTACACGCATTCCAAGTTACATAAGAAATTATAAAAATACCTTAGATGAATGAAAGGGATCTCTGAATTATGAATATGAATGAATAAATCGATGAATATAATTAGTTTTTAAATAGATTCACAACCTACAGTAATATAGTTTCTATAATTTGTCATTAACGTTACTACGTAGGCAAAATACAAACGAAAGCTTACGATACCTATAACTAGGGGAAGCTATTCTAATGTTGGCCCTCCCGCAATGATTGGCCCTCTTGCATTTATACTAAAATATAAAGAAAATTATAAAAAAAACAATGAAGACGAAATCTTTTTATTACTCTTTGTTGGCAATTCTTCAATCTTCAGTGGTTAATTGACCTCTATATATGAAACTTCCTTAATATTGAAGTTAATGTTTAGTCACACTTAATATAAATAACACTATTTGTATTTATACTGTAAGACACAGCAATCAAAATGCAGGTAAACAATTAATGTATATTTAATAATTATGTAATGAAAGGTGACTTCATGAATCATCTCTGAAGTCATTTTTCAATTTGACGACTCTGTAAATAATAAAACAGGGAGAAAAAAACAGCCCTTGCTGAGTTTCTTGCCGGTTCTTCTCAGTACAAGGTCTCCCGCCGTAGATTTACGAACCGATGGCGTAGCTTCTAGACATTCATGAGTGCTTGTAACAGCCTAAACTGAATAAATGACTTTGATTATGATTATGGCAGTTTTATGAAAAAACTAAGTTTGATTGTTGCCGGTTCGCATATGGTACAAAAAGGCAGCCATTTTATTGAAGTCAAATTTTTAGACATAATTACTAAAATGTAACCACTGCACAGATGAAAATTGTATTTTTTCAGAGTTTTACCTAAAATTCAGCAAATTATCAGTTTTGGTGTGCCATTGTATAGTATAATCTCCTAATATCCTCTTGTAAGGGGGTACAATCATTGGCACGTAGGTATGTTAATCACTGAAACGTGTTATATGTTTTTGCTTTTCGGTTATTTTATACTTCTTATAATATTATATCTCCTTCTACACCAATCATATGAGCTCGATGGCGCAGGTGGAAAGCGCGTTTGGTTCAGCTTCCGCATCTGCAATGCCCGATCATAGGTGGATAGCAATAAATTAATTTACTGAAACTGCAAATGTATTTGCAAAAGTTAACAAACACCAATCTGCACTAGGCTCGCGTGTTGAATCATGTCACCTGTCAAGGGTTTTAGATCCTTCCCTTTTCCTTCTTTCCATTCCTTCCTTTCCATTGTTTGCAGGAAAGATTTTCGAGTTTATTAAAATTTCACAAGAGCGATATTCAAAGATATTAGATCGACTTAAAGCGCCTCCATTGTAATGTAAATAGGCTTACTCTGAAAATCATTACCGAAACGCAGTATTGAGGTTTCCAAAAAAATAATCAGGGACGTAAAACCATTAAGAACAGCCAAGCAAGGTCAGGTAAGTGTGTTGACCCGAATCGTTTGGGTACATACCATAATAATTTACTTTGCTATTATTTCCAAGTTGAAGTTTGACAATCAGGGTGCTCCCAAAAGCACAATATATAAGATTTTGTCAATGTTTTATTTTTAATAAAACCACTTATTTAAGGAATGAAGTACTTTGAAAACGATATTTAATTACTTTTTGTTATTCAAACTTATAATGTACTTTTCTTGGACAGTAACGAATTGTTTCTGACATTTCATAAAGAGAAATTGCATTCTTCAAAAACTTCTATTTTCCTGGTTATCAATAATTACACATTCAAATTCATAATGTAGTAAATACAAAACAGGCATAACATAGGCAACATCAAAATAGGTCAAGTCCATCCCACTGTTAAGAGTCGAATTATTTTAAAGTTACCGTGTAATTTTGGAAGTTTGGAATTCCCGGCTGAGAACCCTCCATTTTATTTAAAACCACAGTTAAAAAGCCTCTTTTGGCATTGTGTTTTTATTTTTAAGATTCCAGTGCTACGTGGAGCAGGGGATTGGATTCAGACTAGCAAAATGGAGACATAGAGCAACACGACGTGACGCGGCTAGGAGGGGAGTAGTCATACATAGCTTTCCCCTCTGTCGAATTGAGCATACAATGGAAATGATTTGAATAACAATATGTCGCTATATCGCTATCAAAAAGCTCGATGGCGCAAGTGGTTAATAGCGCGTTCGGGTGCGATCCTTGAAGTTTCAGCAACTTTCGTAGTGGTCAGTGATTGGGAACCACGTTGTCTGTTGGTCCCGACTGCATCTGCAGTCGTTACACCTATGAATACGCATTAAGCCCGCGAGGTGGGTCATGGCCCAATCTCCCTATTCCATCCACAAGGAAGGCCTGCCTCAGAGTTGGGACACTAATAGGCTGGTGATGATGATGATATCACTATGGCTACTCCCTGCGCTGATGCTTTATGGGT